GCGGGCATGCAGCTCCCCCCCCGCCCGCCCCTGCCTGGCACCCGCGTGGCAGCTGTTGCATGGAGCTGCAAGCTGTATGGGAGCTGGGGCTGAGCGGTGCTGGGCTCTGTCTGACATGTGGAGCCACCTCAACTCCCAGACAGTGCACAGCACCCTGCCAAGCTGCAGTGCACTCAAGCCATGTGACAGCTGCCTGGGAGCTGGGGCTGAGCGGTGCTGGGCTCTGTCTGACATGTGGAGCCACCTCAACTCCCAGACAGTGCACAGCACCCTGCCAAGCTGCAGTGCACTCAAGCCATGTGACAGCTGCCATGCGGGTGCCAGGTGGGAGGTGATCCCCACTGCTCCACGCTGCGTGGGGGGGGGCTCTGCCATGAGCCCCCAATCGCCACTGCCAGAGCCATGATGCAGGTGTGGCTTGCTCCAGGTGGCAGCAGGGCATAGCCCCCGCTCTCAGTGCTGCCACACCTGTAACAGCACTGGGAGGGGGGGCTGTGCCCTGCTGCTGCTTGCCAAACTTTGACTTAAACTGCATTCAATGAAATATTTATCCTTGAACAAAAACCTTTTATTTTATGTGCGTATGTGTGAATACAAGTTAATTTGTTGCAAATACCATTTCAATATATTATTTTTCTTACAAGTAGTAACAGTGCTATGAAAGATTTATGTGGTACATGCTATTCTAAGTATTCCTTTCTGTTTTTTGCAGATCAATGTACGAGTTACTACAATGGATGCAGAGTTGGAATTTGCCATCCAACCCAATACAACTGGCAAACAGCTCTTTGACCAGGTAGCCATTTTATGATCTATAGCTATCTACAGTGGATGTCATGATACAGTGCTATATATGGTAGAGTATAGTCAGAAGCATCTGTCCATCCCTTCCAGTTGATACTTTTTATTGATCTGACCCATACTAATATCCAGTAGGCCTGTGCGAGTAGGCAGCTATTCGATTCGGCTTCGGATCCGGCCACTTCGGATGCCAGCGATCCGATCCGGAGGTCCGGACCAGGTTTCTGCTTTGATCCAGCCGAAGCGGCTCCAAAGCTTCAGAGCCGCCTTGGAGACCCAGCCATAGGGTATAATGGGGAATCAATTAAATATCTATAACTTTGCTGATTTTTGTCTGATTTGGATGAAATGTGCAGGGGTAGTAGCCTCTGCAGAGAGCATGAAGCCTGCCAAATTTCAAGAAGAGTGGTGCTGGGGTCTGGGAGGAACTGCACCCCAAATTCCTGAATGTAAAACTCATGTATGTGTATGTGTTACACCACAGGGGGGTGAAAACTGCAGGGGTAGTGGCCCCTGGTCAGGCCACGATGCCTGCCAAGTTTCAAGGAGATAGGTGCAGGGGTTTGGGGGAAATTGCACCTTAAGGTGCTGACAGGCAAAACTTGTGACATGAGTGCTTTTGCAACTGTCTGTTGTGGGGTGGTGGGGGAGACACTTCTGCATGCCTGGCTGCTAAGCTACTGTGTTACCAGTTACCAATCAATCATGATTCACTCAAGGACCAGCTCAATACACAGTACCTAGCTACTAGATAATTAGTTAATTAGCAATGATTAACACCTACAAAACCACAGACTAAGGAGAGAAAATAATACAGACAATCAACTGCCCCAAGACAGAGACAGTTGCACAAGCACCCATGTCATGAGTTTTGCCTGTCATCAGCTAGGGGTGCAGAGCCCCAGAAGCCCTGCACCGATCTCCTCAACAGATGGCAGGCTTCTTGGCCGCAGCAGTGGCCACCATCCCTGCAGCTTTCCCCCTGCTGCGTCTTAACACACAGTGTAACCCATGTCACGAGTTTTGCCTGTCAGCAGCTTGAGGTGCAGTTTCCCCCAAACCCCTGCACCTATCACCTTGAAACTTGGTAGGCTTTGTGGCCTCACCAGGGGCTACCAACCCTGCAGTTTTCACCCCCTGTGGTGTAACACACACACGTGACATGAGTTTTGCTTTCAGGAATTTGTGGTGCAGTTCTCTCCAAACCCCTGCACCGATTCTCTTGAAAGTTGGTAGGCTTCATGGTCTCTGCAGAGGCTACCATCCCTGCAAGTTTCATCCAAATCAGACAAAAAACAACAAAGTTATAGATATTTCATTGATTCCCCATTATACCATATGGCCGGATCTCCGAGGCAGCTCCGAAGCTTTTCCGAAGCAGTTCGGAAAGCCTAACGAAGCCAGCGCTTCGATCCGGACATGCTGCTTCCGACGCCAAAGCGTTCGAAGCTTCTCCAGATCTGAATTACGGTCCAAAGCCTTGCACAGCCCTAATGTCCAGCCTTTGCTGCCTCTTGGCAATTCTGACGGGAAACTTGAATCACAGGGCAACTTTCCAAGAATGCATTTCCAGTTGGACTTCAGCTGAAACATGTTTTGAATCATATTGAAAGTAATGCATATTTTAGAGATATTTGCAAAGAGTCACAGTACACAATTATGAATGTATATCTTAGTTTTTGCTATTGTATAACAACAAATCCAAGGCAGAAAACTTTTTGTAGTAGAAGAATAAATACCTCACTTCCTCTCCAGGTAAGGAAGAAACAGAACATAGTTCTCCTCTTTCTGGGACATTTATATTGTAATCAAAGCTCCCGCCTACCAATTATAATTCCCCTTTAAAAAGAAACACCGTTTCATCTCCCTATTTCTGGACATGGAACAGTGAAAGTGACAGGTTTTTAACTTGTTGAGGAGTTCAAGTTTCATGCTTCCACAAGATGGCCCCTTTTGGTAATGTCACACTAAATGCTGACTACCCAGTTTTTCTTTTAAGGTTGTATTCCAGTAAATGACATGTGAGTTTAAGGCCAGATCCAGAAAAGGATTTGACCTGTGCAGGTGACAGATGCAACCTAAACCCAAGTGAACAATCCACAAAAACCAGGTGTGACTACTTTCTGTTCAGGAACTGGTAGCTACCTAAGTTTTCACCAGTGCAGTTGCCTAAAGGTTTGCTAATATCTTTGTCTAGTATCAGTACCATCTTGACAAAACTGTGCATCTTGGAATCTGTTTTCACCTATGGTCCCTTGAGATTATCTAAGTAGGCATGCCTGTGCCCAAATCCTAGTTAGGTGGCTTTTTGTTGATCCCTTGCTGTTCCCAGAGCACATGATATTCCTGCAGAGGGGGGTGTGTGTGTGTGTGTGTGTGTGTGTGTGTGTGTGTGTGTGTGCGTGCACGCTCGCACATGAGAGAGGAGAATGTATTAAAAAATAAATAATCCCTGCATTGCCCAGTGCTGTCACTGCCCCATGATCCCAGCCTGGCCCTGCCTGCCTTTCATGTTCCCAGATGCTGCTCCCCCGCTGCCTGGCCAAATGCACCCTGCCTGAAGGTGTCCCAGGACAGTCTTTATAGAGACCCTGCCCACTTCATCTGGACCCTGCCCACCAACCCTGTGGTGGCTTCATGGAGGACAGGCCAGGGTGCAGTGGGGCTGGTCCAGTGGTGGTGGTGACACTGGCAGCAGCAGCTGGAGGGATTGCCGCCACGGGCTGCCAGGAGCAACCATGCCACCCCAGGGGCAGTGGACTGGTTGTATATGCCACAGCCTGGGTTGGGCCCATGCCTGGGTCAGACAGGGCCAAGGGATCCACTGTAGGCCAGATAAAATCCCTGGGTGAGCCAAATTCGCTCTGTGGGCTGTATTTTGCCCACCCCTGCCTTACGCTGAGTTCTTAAGTCTATTTGTGGGCTTTTGGCATCAGAGTCTAACTTGGCTTCATCTTTCTTAATCTAGATTCTGGGCAGCTTTAGAAATGAAGTATGCTAATTTTAAATCTCTCTTCAGTGGTTGAGTAATTAACATGACACATTTACTCACATACCATACACTTTCCTCCCAAAAATTAGCCTTCCAAAGTGGGTGTGTATGTCTTAAGCACAGAAGCTGATTTTCATGGAGCACTGTAAGACGGCTGCTGCTGGTTTTCTTTCTCTTCCCTCCAGCAGCTGCCTGGATGGAGTGATGGAGTCCAACAGGGTCAGATCCAAGGGTCTGCAATGGTGCAGTCACACCCTGTTTTGATTTCTGCTCCACCCAAAGTTTAAAACCAACTGCCCAGCAGCAGCAGTGGCATTTCTATTCAGGTAGTGCTAAGGGAGTTGATTGATTTTTATGGCTCATCATAATCTACCTGTTTCCTTCTGATTTGCTCTTTATTCCACAGTTGTTAATTACTCTCTTAAATGGTCTTTATGTTATACTAATCAAGCCATCCATTTTGGCTGTATGTTAGCTACTCCTAGTCTCTCTCCTTCTATTTCACAGCCGTACAGACTGTTGGGGTTTGGGTTTTTTTGCTTTTTTCAAAATCCTAGATCTTCGGTAGGAAAGGGAGAGTGAGCTGATAATTTAGACTTTGTCTCTGCTCTGTGTGATCATAATTGGAAAAATCTTTTTTCCTTCATTCTGTCTTCCCAAAAACAAGGTGCATGTCTCATTTGGGAATTTGTGGTATGCAAGAAAATTGGTACTTGGCTATTGACTGTGTCATGGAAGGATGAGCTTTTTAAATTAAAAATACAGGAGCATTCTATATTACTTTCTTAAAACTAGTTCACTTGTATTCATCATTTATTTTAATACTAACAATGCCTTTATGCTGCCCACCTTGCTGACATAGGTGCTGCAAATTCACAGCATGGTTTCT